TTATTTATATAAATGTATTATTACATTGAACAAACTGACTCCCCCCTGTCCTAGTAAACACTTTGTCTATCATGCCCCATCTTGGCTTGTTGCCTAGTTGTGTATTAGTCCAGATACCAAGATGTCTACTCAGGCCTTACCTGATCAAACATGAGACAGAGGTACCTAAGTGCCGAGATGGTTTAGTTGTGTGAAGCAAGTTACCAGGTCAAACTTGACTTTTAGAGCCCATCATACTACAGGCAGTTTGAAAAAATACCTAACAGTATCTAAGCTGGCTGAGGCAGTCCTATGTCTCCTTTATCATAACCCTAATGATCACTTTAATAATGATTTCACCTTCTGGTCTGTTCCTGCCATGAAAGAAGGAACTGGACTCATCTGGTTTCCCACTGTGTGAGCAGCACCTAGAACAGAGCCCAGTACTCAGAAAGCACTCAATAAAGATTTTTCTTTTGGCTTACTCCCAACTGGGAACAGGTGAATGAGAAGGACAGATTTTATCTATCATAGGTTGCCAGGGAGTCGGATGGGCAGCAGAGATGGAATTACAGGGAGGCCCTCACCACAATCAAAGGCTGGCAGTCTCCATGTTCTACCCTGGCCTGGGCATCCAAAGAGTGCAGTTAAAAGCCCTTGTGGGAAGTTAAAAGCCTTGTGCTGCTGTTCTGGAAGCTTAATATCATAACCACACTTATGACACCATCATTTTACCATTTCCCAACACCTTTGATGCCAGCTAACATTTTCTTTAATCTCATCAGAAAAATAAATGATGTCACCATATCAGCCCTCTCAAAATAGCAAAGCTGCAAGCTGATTTCCAAAATGGGCTAGATTTACTTTTACATGCCTTGACACTCTGGGCAAATAACACATTTTTTAAAGTCTGGCAGAGACATAATGAATTAATGGAAAAGAACACTCCATAGAGAGATAAGGGAATGTGGGTTCCAGTTTCAGTCTGGCTACCACATTGTCACCCTTCGGGAAGTCATGCCATTGTTTTAAGCCTCATTTCCCACACCTGCAAGATAAGGCTGTTATCCTGAAGGAAGGAGCAACTTCCATTTCTAATATGACACAGACATCTGAGGAATCCTCTCTACTCACTGCTCTCTGTGGTCCTTTCCAGGTCATTCTCCTCCAGCCACCAACACAGATCTTGTCCTTCTCCTCACTCCCTTTTGTGGCTTGTCCACATGGAAAAGTCTGTTAGCTTCACATTTTAACAATTTAAAACAGTGGCTTGCTTTTAAGCACTTGTTCAAATTAGCCTACATCTGAACTTAATGCATTTCATGGGTATGTGTCATTCTGTGTAGAGTGTAAGCTCCTTAGGGGAAAATATCATGCATTTTCTGAAAATCACACATCAGTCAGGACTTCCCAACCTCACCAGCAGAAGAATCTGTAAGAAAATTTGGGAATGATTGTTATTACATTCATGTTCTCCAAATTCCAAGTGACCAAGGCAGCCAGGAATCAGCTACAATCCACATCCACTTTCCTAGTTAAAGGATACCTGTACTGCAAGGTTAGCAGGGATTGATTTACCTGATTATGGGCAGTGCTACCCTGAAGCTCTGAATGCTCTTGAATAAGTAATTACCTTTTTCAATAGGACTTTTAAAGTTACACAGACTTTATGAAGACAATGAGTAATTTCTTTCTTAGATTTGCACACCAGAAACTTATAGATATCTCTCTAAGGAGGTACAGTGAGGCATCCTAGCACAAAACTAAAATGTTAACAATTTAGACGATCCTCTCTGTTATTGAGTATATGTATGACTTCTGTAGCCCCTGCTGATTCAGGCTGTAGAAGGCCTCAGGGCAGAATTGGCCTCCGATTCTTTTATTTCAGCTTGAAAGAAAGGATTTTAAAGTTGAGGGGGGAAATCCATAAGCAAGAGAGCCTTACATGAATGTTAAATACCAAATGTTTGTGTTTTTTAAAACTGAATCTACCATCTGTGTCTCCAGAGTCTCAGTCACTTTCAGATGGAACTTTAGCAACCTACTCTCTCTCACAAATAGGCCTTGAGTGTGCCAGAGCAGGGAGGCTTGATATGTTGCTTGGCCAAACTGTGTCTCCCTGACAGTTTACCTGTTGATGCAAGCACAACGCAGTGGTGAGAGGGCAAAGCGCATGACCCCAACCAGGCAGATGTAGTCACACAATCTCGCATCAATGGCACAGTTTATGGCAGCTGGCTTCTTCTGAATCCCCATTGTGGGGGAAGTGGGGTGTGGATGACAAGCACCGTAGACACTGGGGAAAGCTGACTGCAGTCACTTTCTCATACTAAGAGAGCCAGTGTCCTTCCTGCAAACAAGACTCTTTCAGTCTTATTTTACATATAGAAAGAGTGATTATTTGAGGTCTGAATAATGAAACCAATGTGGTCAAATCAAGGCTGAAAAAATGAGGACTTTGTTTATTGATGTAAAAGTTTAAGGCAGCCTCCCTGTATTTTCATTTAAAGGCATTGCTTTTTATCTCTAGTAATTTAAAATTGTCATACTAAAAAATCAACTTTAATTTACCCTCAGACACATTCAAAAAAACACGAACAAAAATATATGTACAAGGATGTTAGCTGAGGCACTCATTTTTAATACTAGGAAAATGGAACAAAAACCATGCATTCATCAATAATAAAATCATTATAATCAAGCCATTCTGTGGAATAGTATGCAACAGCCAAAAGGAATGCTATAATCCTATATTTTGTACACAACGCATACCTACAACGCATTACATTAAAACAAAACTCCACACACATATGACAGAAATAATATGTCATCATTTCATTGGGGCAAACAAAAAATCTATTGTATGTATAAAGTACTTATGTTGTGTGTACACAGAAAAGGTCTAGAAGGACATTCAGTGAACTAAACAGGGGCTGTCTTGGAGGGTGGCACAGGGCATGCTTGGTAGAGGGGAACTTTTAACATATGCCACACTACCATGTTAAATATCTTGTTTGTTTTCCAAGTCTGTATTAGTTTTTTTTTTTTTTAAAAGATTTATTTATTTATGCATACAGAGCTGGGGTACAGGCCAGAGGCTCGGGGCGGTGAGAGGCTTCACCAGAGACAGAGTGGGGAGCAGAATAGGCAGATCGACGAAGTACACTGCTGAGGGGAGCAGCGGGCGGGTCAGGAGAGCTCTGCCACGCCATGTGGTCACCTCCGGGGCAGGCGGGAATCGAACTCATGCGGAAGTGGCTTTAGCTTCTCAGTGCAGTGCTTTAACCCGCTGTGCCACCAGGGAGGGCCTGTATTAGTTTTTTAATTGTTCCTCAGATAACAGCAGTGAGTTAACCACAACACATCATTATTGATCATGCAAGGCCCAATTTTTTGTTAGTTATTCAACTATTCTTTAATAATACAACATCCTTCACCCACTACCCTAAAATAAGTTAGCTCCTTAATAGCGTCTGTCTAACCAGTGATCATTTCGGTCGTCAGACTGTCTTCCAATGCTCTAGGCAACCACCACCCAAATCTTACTTTCATTTTTATTTGTGTATATAATAAGTAAAATATGATCAATATATAAATGCAATGTGTAAATGCAAATAATAAGTTAGTTGCCTTTTAAATTCATTGCTTTTGAATCAAACAGGAAAGACCAGAAGTCAAGAGAGAAATATTTTTTGTTAGAGATTATTTCCTCCAGGAGCAAAGTAAATCAATGGCTGATTCAGTTCCTTCCTTACACCATAATTATAAAAATATCTAGTTGAGCCGAGAAGGTTTTCCCTCTTGGTAGGAAGTACACATTTACTGAAAGCAAGTGATGGTCTCTTTAATATAGAGGGTTTCTCAGTCTCTTATCAACTAGAGGATGCTTTAATAACACATTTTAAGAAACAACACAAGATAGAAAAGTGCCAGGGGACAGAGTGTGGAATTAAGTCAATTGCTAGCAGAGAGTTCAATAATTTGGCCTATTTCCTTCTATGAATTTAAATTCCCCATTTAAAATTAAATCCAAAATTTTGCATTAAGAAAATACTTTGCATTATTACATATTTCTAGCCTGGTTTGAAACTTGTTGGTAAAGAAAGGCTTTTCCAAGCATGATGGTCTTTAAAATAATAACTTCTCTCATTATCTATAACTTGTAAAAAATCATTGTCAATTACTTAAAAGCAGACAAGCCTGACTTACTCAATTATCACTAACTATTTCATGAAGAGAAAATTCTCAAACAAATCATAATATCAGAAAGCTTCCTTTGAGTTTCCAAATATTTGCTTCTTCCAAATAAAAATTAGTTAGATGTGTTCTCAGCAATGCTGAATTAACATGAACAGATAATCCAGAATGGCAAAGAAGCCAAAATTATTTGCATCTCTGCTGAGTTGGAAAGTACAATGTTATACTTGAATAGAACACCATCTTGTCTTTATTACATGGCAACCACCAGTTATCCAGCTATTTTTAATAATACAGCATCTTAACCCACTACCCTAAAATAAGTTAGCTCCTTGACAATAACCTCTATCTAACCACTGATCCTCCCTGTCATCAGACTGTCTTCCAATACTCCAGGCAACCACCACCCACATCAACCTTCATTTTCATTTGTAAAATATAATATAATAAATATGTAAATGCAATCAATAAGAAGGGAGTGGTTCGCCCTTACTGCCTGGCCATCCCAGTCAGCTCACCCGCTCACCAGTCAGTGCTGGGAATTGATCCTGTTAAAGACAGACTGTGCCTTTACTCTCCCTTCAAACACTATCTGTAATTTCCAAGATGAAAAAGCTCTTTTGACTTTCACAGTGCTGGGTTGCCCACCATACAAAATATAGTACAAAATATAGCTGTATCTCCTAGATACAACTATATCTATCAGAAAACTATCGAGGTCCCTACAAATAATAAAGCCCAAATCCTGCTTAAAGTTTGCTTGTAACCTGGGGAGTGGGATGAGGCCTAAAAGCCACCAGTTAGCATCCTGTGGTACCACTTACTCTTCTTTTCTGAGAAGCTCCTCCTCAGATTCTGTCAGGCGCTGCCTTAGTGCAGCAATCATCTCCACGGCCACATCCATTTGTCTATTCAGGGCCCGCTCTCGCTTCTGAACCTCCTGCTTTTTCTGAGTCAGCTGCACAAAAGCTGCCCGAACTTCCAACAGCTCGGCAGTTTTCTGGGCCAACTCTTTGGTAAGTTTATCAATTCTCTTCTCAATGGTCCTGTCCACGGCCTCAACCATCCGATTGAATTTTTCTCTGACATGTGCCTCAAAGGAAGCTTTGGTGTCTGAGGTAGGAAGCCCGGGACTGGAGCGCAGCCCATCCAGGGAGTCTGCGTGTACGCCCACCGCAGTATAGGTCTGCACGTAGGACACAGGTCTCTCTGCCACCACCTCGAATGGCTTCCTGTCTTTGGAGTGTTCGTTCGAAATGCTATACAAGTTAACATAGCTCGGTTTCTGCTTCACCACGTTGCCACTGCTCTGCAATTTTCCCTGTTTCAGGGGTTCTGAGGAGGTGACTAAGTCTGTGTCTCTGAGGGATGGGAAGAGGCTGCATTTTGTCAAAAGGGTTCTTTCCTGGTAGCTGTGACTGAATTCCAGATGGGCCCTCAATGAAGACAGGCTTCTAAACCTGGTATGGTCTCCACACCTCGGGCAGCGAAATGGCAGGCACACAGCAACATTCTCCAAGGACTCCTGCCAGGGGTATCTGTTTTCCTCAAAAGCCTTCTGTTGCATTACTCTAAAAGTCCTGCACAGAGGAAATAAAATAGGTCGTTTACCAATCTGTAAGTACTTTTCAAAATACTGTTGAAAAGCTCATGGCTGCTGTTCACCTCTCTGTGGGAAGAGGTTTTTATTTTCAGGTGATCTTTGCATATAATATACTAAAATAAAACCCTTCAACCCATGAACCAAACCAGTCACAGTTGCTCACTTCTGTTTATCCATTGCTGCTTTTGCAACTAAAAGCTAGCAGTGGATAATTGAGATAGAGACTTCATGGGCTGCAAAGTTAAAAATACGTACCTCTTGACCTTCACAGAAAAAAACTTTGCCAAGCCCTGACTAGGACTAAAAAGGATGGGGAATATTCCTTTCTCACAGATGAGAAAAATGGACCAAGGAAGTAAAGTAATGAATTCAAGGCCAATGGAAAGTAGCAGATCCGGAATCGAAATTCGACTTTTCTGTTATCTTGAATTTAGTACACTAATTTTGTAATACAAAAAAATGAGGAAGACTCACATGCATTGTCATAATGGTTCCTAAGAGCAGCAAGTTCAGAGATCTTTTCTCAGATACAGCAAAAACACTACTCAAGTTAGGCACAGTGGCACACACAATCTCTCAGCGTGAGATTTTGTCTTTAATTTTGTTCTTTATAATTGCCGTTGTGATGACAGAAATCAAGAGTGTCATCATAACAATAATCGTCCACTATATACAAGATTCATTTAAATTCAGGATCCCAATGTGTCAAGTATCTTTTAATTTAAGTGGCAAGTCTGGTGGCCAAGACTTGATTAAAACAGAGGATTCTGGATGGATGTATCTTGTTTCTGATCCTCTTTAATGCGGCAACTTCTAGAGATAGCTAATGTTCGAAGCAGGCATATTATAGCATAACTCTTTTCACTACAGGAAGTTCTTGTTTCCTTGTAGGAATTTATTATCTTGGCCTTAGCAACAGATGACGACTGGAAACCCAATTCTGCAAGCAGTGCATATTTCCTGTAGGATGATTTCTACTTAAATATAACAGCGTTCGGCCTGTCCCTTGCCTAACCCCACCCAGACCTTGGCTCAGCTAAGGGTCCAGACTGAAAAGTGCAAATGGTTCCCACAGTTAAGCAGAGGAGCAAATGGTTAAGAAAAGCTCACAGTTAAGAAAAGCCTCTGCTCCCCAGAAAGAAGAGATTCTTCCTGCACAACACTGAGCTCCTTTAGGAGTTCTCTAGGGATGGGATGCAAACCCTGAACCCAAAACGCTGATGAGAAGGGAAAGAACAGCAAGTCGGGGTTTTAGGAGGCAGTGGGAAAGGGCTGGCGTCCTTGGATTTGGAAAATGGATAATCACGCACTCGGGACTACGCAAGCTTTCAAGGGCCCTAAGAAAGCTCCAGTTCACACTGTTAACGGTAAAACCCCTAATTTGCTCTGCCAGACCTGGCAGGCCCGTGGGGATCCTGCCTCAGGGGTCTTGATTCGCCCCGCCCCCGCTCCGCGGCATGCCAGCTCCAGGGTGCCTGAGTGGCTGTGCGTGCACTCGAGTTCCTGCAGGTGGGGGATGAGAAGCCCAACTCCCCGAGGTGCTGGTTGGGGGGTTGGGGGGGAGTTAGATCCCCTGCCCAGCCCTGACCACCGCCGCCGCGCCCCACGGCCGGCCGTAGGCACAGAAACCAGGGGCTGCCACTTACCGGACTTGTTGCTGCAGCTGCAGCTGCTGCTGCTGCCGCCGCGGCCGGTGCTGCTGCTGCGGGAGCGAAGCGGTTTTCAGCAGAGCCGTAAATCAGGCAGAGCCCGGCCCGCTCCCACCTCCCGCGCACCCCGGCGCCGGGACGAGCGGCGTCCAGGGCGGAGCGTGGCGCGGGCCAGCGGGGGCGGCGCACGTGGCTGTGGAGGGGGGACCCCCGTTGGAGTGCCGCGGCCCCGGGGGCTACCACTCGGGCGGGTGACACCCCCTGGCTCTGCCCAGAGGTCAGGCACACCATCTGCCCTTCTCCAGCCTTGGAGCGGGATCGGGCTCAGGATTCCACTGACATCACCGGGAGAGATGCTGGATCGCTCCCCAGGGAGGGAAGAAGAGAAACCGATCTGCCTCTGAGGCGCTGTGCGTTCTGCAGGCCCTGGCAAGCATTTTTTGCACTTTACAGTTTTTGGGGAGCAGGACAGTGTGGATGAAGATGAAGTAGGAACGGGTATCTTCTTTAAAAATCTGCTGGCAGGAAGATCCGGGTATTTACATCTGGACCTCTAGCTTCTAAGCAACGAAACCTAGAGGTCCCCAAATAAGTAAAGTAGGCTGTCTATTATTCCGGTTAATTTAGCCTAGTGTCCTGGTGCTAAACTAACCCGTAGAATTAAGTAAAGCATATGACCTGCGAATAACTAATAAAAGCAACAAAAACTCTACCGTACTCACCCAACTCTGAGGGTCACACACCCATGTTTCACACACCCCAGCGCATTCCAGCAGAAGCAAAGGTTATTCATTCTAAAGAAAGGTTTCTTTCCTTCGGAAGGAAAATGATGACTTGGATTCTTTTTTTAAATCTGTTTTTGGGGTATCCCTGGACTAATTCTTTTCCTTTTAATTTATTTTGTTAATTTATGCATACAAGAGCTGGGTACAGGCCAGAGGTGTGAGGGGTGAGAGGATTCATCAAAGACAGAGTGGGGAACAGAACAAGCAGATCTGCTGAAATACATTGCTAAGGGGAAGCAGCGAACGGGTCAGGATAGGTCTGCCGCGCTGTGTGGGTCACCTCCCTGGCCAGGGTATAGAATATGCTGCAGTGGCTTGATAGAGCTGAGACTTAACACCTTGTGCCAACAGGAACACCTATAATTCTTGAAATATGGAATCAGGATAAAAGTTATTGTTGGGGGCCCTGCCTGGTGGCGCAGCTGGTTAAAGCACAGCACTAAGAAGCTAAAGCCACTTCAGCATGAGTTCGATCCCACCTCAGAGGTGACCCATATGGCGCGGCAGACCTCTCCTTACCCGCCCGCTGCTCCCCTCAGGAGTGTACTTCATTGATCTGCCTGTTCTGCTCCCCACGCTTTCTCTGATGAATCTTCTCACCTCTGGCATGTACCACAATTCTGTATGTCTAAATAAATAAATATATTAAAATATGGCTTTAAAAAAATACGTATGTTAACAGAATGAATGTTGAACAAATGAATCTTCTGTCTCCATAGAAGTGAAGGAAGGAAGCTAAATCTCAAAGTGTTGATGTTTAATTTTTTTTTTTTAAAGATTTATTTGTTTGTGCATACAGATTAGGGTACAGGCCAGAGGCTGGGGGACGGTGAAAGGCTTCACCAGAAACAGAGTGGGGAGCAGAACAGACAGATCTAAGAAGAACACTGCTGAGGGGAGCAGTGTGCGGGTCAGGAGAGGTCTGCTGCACCACGTGGTCACCTCCGGGGCAGGCGGGAATCGAACTCATTCGGAAGTGGCTTTAGATTCTCAATGCTGTGCTTTAACCCGCTGCGCCACCAGGGAGGGCCTATGTTTAATTTTTTAATATATTCATTACATCATCCTTCATTTTGGTGAAATGTATGATTTCCCAGTGAAATTCCAATCATCAGTTCACCCACGCAATGTCACCATTGTCCCTTGTGCTCTTTCCACTCCAATCCTGATACTTCTCCCTCCCTCTTTCTCCCCTTCAGAATGTCTCTGATCTATAGTTGATTTTGATTTTGATTTCTGATGATTTTGATTTTTACTTTATTATATATATATGTATATATTATTTTTATATATTATTTTTACTTTTTTTTAACTGATTTCTTATTCGGTTTCTCTATATTCATTCTATAAGTGAGACCATTTGATAAGTTTCTTTATCTTTCTGGTTTATTTCACTGAGCATCAAAATTCTAGCTCTATCCATGTTGCTGGGAAGAGCATGAGTTTATCCTTTTTGATCGCTGAGTAATACTGTACTGTGTAAAGACACCACCTCTTCTTGATCCAGTCATCTATTTTTGGGCATTTGGGTTGCTTCCATGGTGGTTAAGCAACTTTCCTAATATCACACACCTAGAAAGCATTATAGCCATGTCTCTAAACTCTGTAGGCTTTCTACCACTGTGTTCATTATCTTTTCAATTTTTGATGATGAATATAAATTTATGAGAGATTAAAGGACATCTAAAGTCATAAAACTAGTAAATAAGAGATGTTACAAAATGTTATAATTTGGTATTATTTACATTCTATATTACATGATGAGGAGTTGTCGTTTCCTCCAGGAGTTTCTTTCACTATAAGCACATAAAGCAAATTATATTTATAGTAAAATAAATTTAGTGGGATGTATCTAGAGGGCCTGGTATCACGACTGGCATGTAAATGTTTATTGAATAAAAATAAACCTTAAAATATTTACATGTCTCAGGCCCTCCCTGGTGGTGCAGCAGGTTAAAGCACAGCACTAAGAAGCTAAAGCCACTTAAACATGAGTTCAATCCCCACCCTAGAGGTGACCCACATGGCACAGCAGACCTTTTCTGACGCACCCCCTGCTCCCCTCAGCAGTGTACTTCCTCAGTCTGCCTGTTCTGCTCCCTACTCTCTCTCTGGTGAATCCTCTCACCACCCCTGCACCTCTGGCCTGTACCCCAGCTCTGTGTGCATAAATAAATAAATCTTTAAAAAATATAGTTATGTCTCTTTCTGTGATGTGAGTATATATACATCCAGAGTTTCTCAAAGTAGGATCCTGGAAACTGGGAAAATTGAAATTTATGAATGTGGATCTGGAGAATCTAATTCCTCTATGTCTCAGGTGACTGTCATACCTACTGAAACTTGAGAAACACTCCATTGTTATTTCCACCCAAAAGCATTGGTAGCTCCTATGTAAGAGAGGAGAAAATTATCTGTAAATCCTTATTGAATGACCCAGGAGTTGAATGGAAATGTCCCTCATCCCTCTACTTATCTGATAACATCCACTCTTTGTGGCCAGAGAACTGCCTTTCAAACACAGGTTTCTTGAATCAAAAGAATGTTTAAATAAAAAATGCATTTTAATAGAACTAGTGGAAAATGTTTACATCTAGCTTATATAATGTCATGTAATACCACAATTTGTTGGTTTTCTTTGGGGAATTATTTCAGAAAAAACAAGAGTCCAAGAGTAATCTGCAAAGTAGATAATGCACCTTTTTTATCTTAGAAAAAAATTTTAAGCTGTTTCCTGTAAAATGCATGTACAATAAAGCCAATTATCTATGAATAGGAAAAAACACGTTATTAAATGTAGTGATTGCATTTGACAAAAAACAGCCTTAGAATTACTAAACAGACTCTGATGTGAATAAGCTCCCCAGGTAAAAAGTCTGCAAGGGGAGCCCCAGAGTAGATTATAGTTACCTTTCCATGTCTGAAGTGCCCTTTGAAATCAGACAAATCATTTCACATACAGTATCAGGTAAATAGGAAAGCCAGGAAGGATTTGAGTAAACTTGCTCCAGACTGACGTTAAGTATTGATTTTAAGTACTTGGTTCTCTGCTGCTACAGTTTTCTCTACCTAATACAATTTATGTATTCATTCTGTTTTTCAACAAATATGGTACGCCTACTGTGTCCTAAGAGTACATAGTAGTACTAATCAGTTACAGCATTTAAGCTTCAGATTTGGAACTGTAATCTGGCATTAAAACCTCCACCAGAATAATCTACTAAAAAACTATTTTTGTTACATTTCGTTGGCATGGTAACCACCAAGCAACACCATGGAGAGTGCATTAAATCCCACAGCAGTGTGTTAACCCCAGTGATTCTGTAGAGAGTACGCTTTCTGCAGAGACTAAAAATAGACAATTTACAGCAAGGTGGTCCCACCCTAACTAGAGGGAATGCGATTTACTTGCTTCTTTTTATGGAGTCAACCAGGAGCTATATGAGAATATGTGCTAATCTCTCAGGCTTCTGCAGCCCATTACCTGGGCTAGGAATGTGGAGTCCCAATGTCTAGTAATTGTTTAACCTTATAACCAGTTACATGAGAATCTGTTCAAGCTGGGAAACATCTCTGTCTTTCAATGTGTCCTCATTTGTAATAGGCAGGAATAAGAATGCACTAAAAACATTTCTGTGCTATAATCCAGCTATTTACAGGTTTGTCATTTCTCTTGATGGGGTGGCTTAGAGAAGAAGCATGTGGGTGTGTGGTGGTGGTAGAGAAGTTTGTCATTACATTATTTGGCAAAAATCATTAGGTGTCATCTCTTCTAGTAATAAGTGACACATGTTGAGCATTTATTATGTGACAAGGATAGTTGTAAGTGATTTTCATGTCGTATGTCATTTAACCTTCCTAACAAGGCTTGTAAAAAGACATTGCTTATATCCCACTTTCATAATTGAGTAAACTAAATTATGGAGAGTTAAATAGATCATTTTTATAGCAATAGTAAATACTATAGCTAGGACTTGATCTCAGGTTATCTAAATTCAGGACCTACACACTTGAACATTATTCCTTTATATCTCTAGCGCCTAGATCATTTCATGACACCCTATGGTCCCCCTGAAACTATTGAATGTGTAATGAATCACTGCTCTGCTCCTTCTCAGTGCCTCCTATTCACAAAGCTTCAAGCCCATTCCTTTCTTGGTAAATTATCATGTAAAGAGAAACTTTGAGATATAACCTCTAAATGAAATGGTTGTGGGAGAATTGGAAAGTATGTTGCTATGGAATAAATTATATAGAAAAAGATACAGTTAAAATAGAGCTGTTAGATAATGAGCTTGATTATATAATTATGTGAAAATTATAGAACTGAAATTCTGTCTAAATAGAATATGTTTTCTAGGAGCTAGGATACATAGGCAATTTCATTTTACTATTGTAGGTGAAAATTATATGTTTTTTTTTTAAAGATTTATTTATTTATTCATACAGAACTGGGGTACAGGCCAGAGGCTCAGGGGCGGTGAGAGGCTTCACCAGAGACA